AGAACTGATGATCCCTGGTTGTTTATGTTGCATTAATTCCTTCTCAGAGCCATGTTTACAGTGGGTTGTGTGCAATAGATGTGTATGTGCAACAGCTTCTGTTTTTGAAAACCAATCGCTTTACGGTGTGACACTGAGTGTGAATTCTTGTTGTTGATGTTTTTGACTGCTGTATTTTTATATAATCCCCTGTGACCCCGTCCCCCTGGGACTACAGATGAAAATTAGCCTTTGGCTGCAATCTGACGTGTCGACAAATGTGTTCAACCATCTATGGTTCAACCATGTTCATTGACATGTACTGTCCCAGTCAAATAAATACATAAATACAAAATGCAAATACAAATTGGGTATTCATGGGATTAAATACATATTCCTCTTCCCACTCCCTTTCACGCTAAATTTATGTTGATGTATATTTTTTTATGTTTACTAAAAATTGGAGTGAGACGCAGGGATGACGCTGGAGTGACACAATATGGTATTTTTATATATATTTTTTTTAGGTTTAATAACAATTGTGTGGCGCCTATATTGTCCTAAAATAAACGATTAAATAACTGTAAACGTTGTAAATACAGATTGGTAAAAAACAACCTATAGAATCATCTAAAAATTATTGTGTCTTCAAACTTGACTGATCTGAGCACGAACAGAGGTCGTAATACAAGCCTTTACTTTATTATGTGAAACAGTAGTTTTTCCAACCTATGTGTGGTCACATGGGCAAGACCCTAAACCCATCTTGCCTGCTTGATATGAATCTGATAGGAGTGATAGTGAAAGTAAAGCTGGTGGATCAGTGTCGCAGCCTTGTTATTTCCTCAGGGAAGCCACGGCTACACAACGCTTCAGTGTGAAAATTGAAAAGGTATGTTGAGCATCGAGGAAAGACCTGCATAGAAAACCCTTCCAAAAAGAGTCAACAAAAAATAATAATCTGCTTGAGATGAAGTAGAAAACAGTTGGTCTTCTTTAAAGGTGCAGTGTACTTCTGAGCACAAAGGAAGGGGCTGGAATCTTCCTGTTGACAGTTATTGTTGACGGCCCACCGCAGAGATTTTCCCGCTTGTATAATTACTGTGGCAACTCGTTATCTCGCGTGAGTAACGTCAAAGATCTATCCACAGGAGACCGCAGTACCACGGCAACCGGTGCGAGTCCTAGACCAAAGACCACAGTCCAGGAGCTGCTACAGAGACAGGAGACAGCTTTCAGATCAAGTTACACATGTGTACGACCTGATGAATCCATTCTCAGCTTTGTCTTTTTCAAGATATAATAATAACAACAACAACAAAAAGTGGCCAAACTTCTATAACTTACCAGACAGAAAAGGTACATAGAGCAACTTTCAAGTAGGGCTAATGTGCAATATATTTATTTGGTGAAGCAAGATAAGATAATAGAAGCTAAAGGAGAAAATAATGTTTGTTTTAAAGTTGAATTATAGTTTTGCACCAATCAAGAAGCATGAAGCTTAAGCGTAAATTCAGACGGAAAGACCAAAACAGTCGTCATGCTGCCACACAGGCTCCTCCCCCTCTGCACACCTGTGCTTCAGTTCAACATCAGCTTCAGCTGAGCTCATCATCTCCTCATGTCTACATTTAAACAGAGCCTCTCAATTTTCTGCAGCTTCAAGCTGCTGTTCAAGCAGCAACCCACTTCACCTCCTCCCCATCACCGCCTCTTCAGGAGAGTATTATGTCATGTCTTCAGTTCACCTTTCTTCGCCACCAGCGTCTGGGCCCGGGGGGTTCACAGGCTCATCATGTCTATTAAACTCCCCCCTGCATACGGTGCAAATCATGCAAATCAATGAGTCTGCTGGGTTTGACTGTCTTTTCATGCAATATTGACAATAAATTATAATGAAATCTTTGTCTTGAGTCTTTCCAGATTGAAAAGGTGAGGAAACAAAACCGTAAAACTACAATGTTTGTAGGATGACATCACAATAGGCCTATTCAATATAAATCATTCTATTTTCCTCTATCAAATAATCATAATTACATTAAAGGACTTTACATCATCACATCATACAAGTGATGTGATGATTTTACAATGAGAGAGTCAAAATTTAAATCTAAAAAAAGTGACTGGAATAATACAGTATTCGGAAAATGTGTGCTTTATAATACATTTTTTATAGGGAGCCCCCTCACTCCCTGTCTCACGAGCACTGCTCTGTCACACTGGGGTAGTCTTGCACAGTTATTCCCATGTGGTTTTACTGCAAATAAAGTGAATCTAAATCTGAATCTGATCAGTCATGACATTTGTAGACATTGCATATTGTTTTTGTTCTCAGAAAAGAAGTTAAAACAGATACTTACAGTATAATACAATGTAGTAATGATATGAGTAACAGCTCAAAGCACTGGAGTCTGTTGTTAGTATAGATCTCATAAATCATACAAAATCTCTATCATTTTGATTTTAGTACATTCCCCAGCCAGCCTTTCAGCTCATCAGTATTCTACAGATGCCACTAGTCATTTCCGATGCCACCATGCCCCCATGTCTGCGCTCTCCGTCTGACCCGGAGAGACCTGGGGTGGTCCGCTACCGTGAGAACAACATCACTCCCCCACCATCATGCCATACCATCATGAGCTCGCGAGCCCTGTCCTAAAAAGTTGTTTTTAGGCTTTTTTTTTACCCTTTGAAAGTTTATCTTAGGATCAGTGCTAAGTGGATTTGAGTCGGCGTGGCATGACTGATGTGTTCTCAACTCTCGGCTCTACTCTTTCATTAAAAACCACTGCTTCCTGCTTGTTTCGCCTCTTATCACTCCTGCGTCTATGTTCAGAAAGGCAATATGTTTTTATGGTGCCGATGCTGGCTGCCAGTGGGATATTGCACAGTATATTTGCCTCGAAAGACCTTGAGGAGTGAAATTTGGTAAAACTATTTCATTTTACAGCAAAGAGACACTGGGGAACACATTGATAGTCGCAAATTCCATGACAGATGTTTAGTCTCGAAAATGTATGCAATTACATGGCGTGCTTTAAGTTTTTTAAATATTGAATTTGTTTTAAAACTTTTTGTGGAAGACATAAATCGTCAGTTTATAGTCTATCGATTTGGCAGAGACAATTTTGTTTAATGTTTTATGCTAATTTCTCTTTGGAGTAAGAAGTAACAACTTGCAGACATTCCAAGTATCGACAAATTAAACATTTAGCTCTCTTTTTACAGCTTCTGTAAAAGCCAAAAGTGTTATTGTTTTTGTTTTTAATATAAAATGTGTTGATATAAATATTTGTATTTGCTGAAAAATTACATCTGAAAATATACAAAAAGGCCGATATAACATAAAAACTGTAAAGTGTAGTATTAGTTATGTTGTTAAGCTTTGCCAAGTTAATGAATATTATTGTGTAGCTAAAATAGAATGTATTCATCCCCATTACTGACCTTATTATGGGATTGGGATGAATATATATATATATATATATATATTTTTTTTTTTTTTTTTTTTTTTTTTACTACACTGCAAAAAGTGATACAAAATGAGTCAAGTTCAAGTTTCTAAAATGTCTCTACATTTAAGCACATTTTGGCAGCCTTCAAACAATATTTGCCAATGAGACAAACAAAACGGTCGTGTTCTTAAAACATACAAATGTCTTCCTTGGAATGAGAAAGAAATTGCAAAAATTCTTTAAAAAAAGACTAAATGGCTTTGCCCCATTGGCAAATCTTGTTTTAGGACTGTCAGAATGTCCTCAAATCATGATAAAAACCACTTGATTTAAGCACTTACTACTTCATTCTTTATATATTTTTTGCAGTATAAGCAAAAGTTGTGCCAATAAATGCTTCTGTCTCTCATACAGATGTTGTGTTTCCACCAGTATCCACTCTATACGTTCTGCTGAATTGAAAACAAGATCACAAAGCTTACAATATATCTCCATGTTTATTGTTAAAATAACCTTCTCCATCTTTGTCACATTCATATCTACAGCTCATTGGAAGCTCATACTCAAAACAAAAACATAACGACAATCCCAAACTCGCTGTATATATCGTTTGTGCCTGTTACTTTTGGTCTAGAACTGCCGTCTTCTTCTGCATGAATCGAAATATATAAAAGTTTGTTTATAGTTACAGAGCCTTTTAAGATACAAGTTGACGTGGTAGTGTAATATTTCCCTATTGGTAATGCCATTGTAAATATATAATCGACTTGTTGCTAAGTTACAAATGGCATCTTTTGCGGTTAATTGAAATGTATGGAACAGCCCGGCCCTTTAGTTCTGTGTTGTGTATGCACTTTTGATTACATTGTTATACTCTATGATAGATTGCATGGTTTGCTTTGTTTGAATGGATGTGTCTTTTCCAAACTAAACTAAAATATTCTATACTTGAATATTCATAGCTGGCTTTCATCACGTCGTCTCTCTCAAAAAAAAAAGGTATAAAAATAAATAACTCAATCCAACAACAACAAAAATGCAAACATTACATTGCTCTCACAACACATTCCATATGCGTCATAGCCCTTCTCCCTTTATGAGTTTCAATATCAATACGATGGAAAAACTCACAGTGAAATAATGAGGCGTGTCCAACGGGATTTGTGAACTCTGGGCTTTGAATTATTCTGCTTGGTTAGCTCGCCTTGCCGTCTAAACCATTGAGTGACGACCCGCAGGCTATTTTCTGAAACTTTGATTGCTTTTATTAGTCCAGTGTGCTACACAGCTCATGTATGATGTCACTGAACCCGCCCACGTGTCTGCTGATGACAAAAAATGCATGGAATCAAATGCATGACTTGACAACATGTTTCTTGGCATGGCATAACTAGGATGACTGCCGTGGCGTGAGGCTATAAATTGTAGCTACAACACTGAACAGACATGGGGGTACATTATTTATAGTCCAGTAACGTTCTGTGTTTGTGTCCACGCTTTTAAAGACAAGTCCCTGAATTCATTTCACATATACTTTTATTATTTGCAGTCTCTTTTTCCCCCCAGCTAAGGTCTGTGGAACTTGCATCTAAGAATCTTCTTGAAAGCACTTTGGAAGTCCTTGTTGAAGTAGGCATATATGATTGGGTTGAGGAGGGAATTGGAATAGCCCAGCCAGTTTATCACGGCCCCTAACCAGTCAGGCATGTAGCAGCTCTCCGCGCAAAAAGGCAACACCAGGGCCACAATGAAAAATGGCAGCCAGCACAAGATGAAAGTCCCCATGATTATCCCAAGGGTTTTGACAGTCTTACGCTCTCTTGCCAGCGCCAGCTTCCTCTTCGCACCCGAGTTTTTCTCATTAATGTTCTCATACGACGAGGTCTGGGGCGTGTTAGGCAGAGGCAAGTGCGTTTTGGAGTTGCTGATAACTTCTATGATCTCTAACGATTCTCCCTCGTCTTGGTGCTTCACTGCTCCGTTTACGCACGGAGAGCTGCTTTTGGAGTCGTCCTCTCGCCTCCAGTTGCCGTTGGTTTTCTTGTGGAAAACAGCGGGCGACGGGAACGAGCACTTTTCTGTAACTTTCGGAGCTTTCTTTACAGTCTTTCGGATCCTGAAACGGGCCGCTTTGAATATCCGCCCGTACAGGACCAGCATGAGAATAAGCGGGATGTAAAACGCGCCAAACGTGGAGTAAATGGTGTAACCTGGGTCTTGGCTGATGCTGCATGCGTCTGGGTCGGCTCTGTCCTCCGCGCTCCTCCATCCCAACATGGGGGGGATGGAGACCGAAAAGCCCACGAGCCAGGTGACACTGATTAGAAGCGCAGCTCGTCTCGGCGTGCGCTTATTCACGTAGTCTATGGGGTCAGTGATGGCCCAGTATCTGTCCAGGGCTATTGCGCACAGATGGAGGATAGACGAAGTGCAGCAGAGTACATCCAAAGAGATAAACAAGTCACAGATCTCCTGACCCAGCGTCCACTTGTTCAGAACTTGGTAGAGCGCGGCCATGGGCAACACCAACACCGACACCATGAGGTCTGTCACTGCGAGCGACCCGATCAAGTAGTTGGCGACATTCTGGAGCGACCTTTCCAGCGCGATGGCCGCTATTACGCACGCGTTGCCAAATATGGAGCAGAGGATGAGTACGGCCAGGAGTAAAGACGTGATAATCTGGTAACTCAGCTTCACATCTGGCACCGACCCAGCGTCTGTGCCAGTGCTGTTTCCGTCCCAGCCCGCTCTCGCACCGCTGGCGTTGCTCTCGTTGCCGCCCGAGATGAAATCCATGGCAACTTTTTTCCCCCCTTCTCCACCGAAAAGGCGCCACAGCCACAGTCACAGTCAGTCAGCCTCTCACTCTGCCGCTGCTGTGCGTCTCAGCGGGCTCCATCAGAGTTACCCAGTTCGTGCCGTTAGTGCGCTCTGGACGCATGACGCAGGCTTTGTGTGGGTTCGTGTGTGCGTGTGCGCGTGTGCGTGTGGGTAAGTGTATGTGTGTGTGTGTATTTTGAGGGGGGGGATAAGCATGTGAAAATGTTGACGGGCTCGCGCTCTGGCTGGTGCTGCGAATCATCTGCGCTCGGTGACGACTTGAATTCATTTATAGGAGCCCCGGTGGATACGTCAGAGCGCACGGGAGTTTTGTGCCACGGTGCTCACTTCTTCACCGCAGACGAGCGCGGATGGCAGAGCGCGCGTTTGCCTCTGCTCTTTTTTATCCCACTTTTTTTTCTTTTTACACCACCATCTACTCTACTTCTAGTTTGTGTGAGTTTGGGAAGGACACATCTCAGTGTTGGAGCAATTACGCACACCAACAAGCAAATAGTTACTAGCTGTTTGCTTAGTTGAAACAAAAAATAGCGTCAAATGTGTGAAACAGCGGCGTGACATCGTTTCGTTTGATCCAGTATTCGTGGGAAAGGTAATCATAGAAGCGCTCGGGCAGAGAGGGCAGGATCAGCACCATGGCCAGCTCCCGCTCCGGAGGCTGGCCGCTCTGAGGGGAGCTGCTGCCATCTGCTGCCGACTCTATGGTACGTCTGCTTCATGTATGGCCACATGGAGCAGCCGTTTGGTTGGGTTTTATCAATTCCTTCAATCAATAAAACGTAGAAAATAAAAACGAAATAATTGACACCCGTATGGTTTTTTTTTTTGTACTGAAAGGATTTATTTAGGCTGAAGTCTAAGTCATCAAAACTCGAAATTCAAGCTACCTACGTAAGTGAAGAAAATAATAATAATAATAATAATTCATATTTGAATAGGTAATTTGCAGATCTCTCTTGAAAAATGATCTAACGGTTGTATTCCTCTACAATCTTCAACATTGTAGTTATTGGTAAAACATTTTAACGAATGTCTATGGCACTAAAAATATATTTCACAAAACTACTTGGTAAACAGCAAATGTAAAGCCTTGTATACATTGTGAGATATTTTTCTAATCCCACTTTTACAACTTTAACCATTCATTTCCACACACACAGCATATTTCAAATACACAACACATGACAGCTACAGGTCCATCCGTACACTGCTACTAATGCACATTTTCGCTCTAATATTATTTTCATTAATGTTTATATTTGCGCAAAACATAATGGGAATGTACTGGAATGTAAAGGGAAGCATCTTCTGTGAAGACCCGTCCTCCAAGAAATACTATAAAAGATCCATTGAATAATACATAAAAAGCCTACTTCATGTATGTGAACTATTATTGAAAGAGGCTGTTATTTCTCCTGGTTGAGCAGTTCTATGTCATCCTGCATTTGTAAATCCAGTGATATGAAAATGTCTGTGCAGCAGCTCCAGCCCATTCATGTTGTGCTGAAAATATTACTGGACCATTTTTAGACATTAAAACACGCAACGTGCTGCTTGCCCGAGGAATCACAATTATGAGGAGCTGCAGGATGTCCATGGATCAAGTCATTAGGATTAATTATACAGTATTATCAAGTAGCTTTGGATCAATAATGGTTAATCTATATGTAAAATAATTATCTATTGAGGGCTGTAGTTTAATTCGAAAGATACCTTCAAAAATCAGCGTTGTTTTCCTCTCATGCATTTTTTTCAAAAATTAATTTCTTTTTAATTCATTGCATAATGAATTAGCTATTGATCATGTTGTACGGGTCATCGGAGGCGCTTTGATAAATGGCCAAATGGTATAGACACCCTATGCATGCAGTGTGAATTGTTCAGGTGAAAGCTATTTGCGGTCTCTTCTTGAACATAAAAGCATTACAAAAGCATCCAGTGCAAAAATGACTAGAACAATAGAGTCCTGTGAACAATGGAACAACACAATTATGAAACAATAGCAACAAGAGGGCAATTATGTGGTTAGATAAGAGATAATAGCCTGCTGAAAAAAGCCTCCAAATAGCCAAATCGTTTAATGTGTGAAAGCAAAACAAAAGGCAATCATTCCACGTCTACACTAATGAGAATCAGCGCATTTCAGGTGAGCCCTTCTCCTTGTTTAACCCAAACACAAACCGCAGCCCAACGTCCTCCTGATGTTTCTTCAAAGCGGCCGTAAAAGCGCCAAAGGCATCATTTCTATAGTCTTGGATTCAAAACACATCACCCAATTTCTCCGTTGCCTCGCTCGACTCAACATTACACCTCCCATGCCTGGGCACATCTCTGGGCATATATCCATGGAGGAAAAAAAAATCTATTTGTGTGAGAGATGAGGTATTGCTCTAGCCTTTTCACCTTGTTTCATTGTTTTGCACTGGGTCACATGGGAGTGCAGTGTAGTCTGATGCAGCGCAGCTTTTGTAACGCAATCTTTTGTCAGCGAGCGTGGAATGTCCCAGGGTGAAGCTATACCAGCTACCCAGAGCACATAGGGATAATGCTACAAGACCTAAACACCACCCAGATTAGGCTTGGTTTAAATGTCCTTTTTAGGTCTTATGGAAGGCGGGTAGAAAAGTGGCAATGAGCGGCCATGTTGGAGATGATGGGAGCGGGGAAGAAGGTGCAAGGCCATCTGATCAAAGCGCATCGATCAGGAGTAATTGGAGGGATTTAAGTCATGTGGATTTGTTGGTGAGGCCTGCTCTTGCTGGAAGAAAAACACACTGGAGTTGGCGTCGCGAGTTGGTCAACCGGCAAGAAGAAACTGTAGAAAGGAACGGCCCGGAAGGTGCTAGGGAAAGTGGTGTTAGCTTGGATTGGGGAGGAGGAGATATGGGAAGAACCGGTGCGAATGGAACGACTGATGAAGGATTGGAAGTGGGTGGAACACACGTGGAAGAGCAAGAGGAAGTAAGAACTGGGGATACAGCAAGGCCGCCTCAATCTGTGTCGGAAGAGGGGCAGAGTGAGGAGGAGGAGCAGGAAGAAGAGGCTGGAGAAGGAGGAAGTGGGGTGATGGAGGTTGAGGGACTAGCGGTGAGCCCGGAGCTGCTAGTGCCGGTGGGAGGGACGGGCGACAGGAGGAGCGTGCGGAGAGAGAAGAATCGCGTGAGGTGTTTGCGGATGAGGCAGAGGAGGCACTGGCATCAGCAGCAGGAGAGACAACAGGTAAAGTTTAGTTTGTGATTGTGGAGAGAGGAACAGAACCATGTGTATGTCTTGGGAAACCAGGTGTAGGTTCTGCCGATGCTTTGCCTTTGGGTTATTTAACTCATTTTGGTCTGGGGCAAAATAAAAAATAAAAACATAAGAGCTTATTGGGGCCAGAAGTATAAAAGTGGTTTTCTTTCATAATCTTTTTTATTTATTTAAATGTGTTTTACATATTTTGGTTGTTGTTTGAAAATGATGTTCTAGTAGGTTTTGGATTCAACCACAACTGTGCCAAATATCAATAAGAGATTCATTTGAAGGCAGATAGTTTAATATAATAAAACAAATCAAATAATTAAATAACTATAACTTCTTCTTACGTATCAGTTAACCTTTTAAAACAGGTTCAATTACATGGTTTTCTCCACTTTATTTTAGAATAAAGTATAACATGCCATAGTAGCCCATTACCATCAATGCTGCAAGTCAATGTGATAATTATCATTGAAAAGTACTTCAAAGGCCACTAAAAATAGTCTAGACCTGAGTTTGACATGACTGATCAAACTTTATAGGATCTTCTTAAATTTATTTTAATAGAGAGATAATGGCCATTTTCTGCCAGTCGTTAATTTTTATTTTTTTTTTAAATAAAGAGTCAGGCCTTAGAAAAATACACTGTTTTTATGTGCTTTGGAAGTTTGCATTTAAAGTATTTGTATTTGTTTAGTTGTTTATCCTGTTGATGTCCCCAGTTCTAGATATATTGTTACATTAAGTATATATTTGGCAACATTAGTCCACTTTCACAACAGCACTAAACCAAACCTGAGTCTTTGGAAACCCACATAACAGATGTCACTATGAACAAAAACAGCTTCATTTGGCAGATTTCTGTTTCCAAAATTCAGGTTCGACTCTGAGTATAATTTGAATATTGTTTAAAAACTCATTTATTTCTGTGATTCGAAATTGAAATATGAAACCAACAATTGATTAAGACTTATTACAAGCCAAGCGACACATGGCGGCCTTTTGTTTGTTATAATATTGTCCATTCAGTCCATTTTCTAAATATTCTAATTTCCTGGGGGTGTACTTTAGATTGGAGTAGATTAGATTAAACTTTATTGTCATTATAAAGTCAGAACAATGCAACTTGGGGGTTTTATACGAGCTGTGAGCCAATTATAGAACATAATGGTACTTTGCATATATTAGTTTCACATTGAAAGTTGAATTACAAAAGTAAATGGACTAAATTTTATACAAACAATAGTATTTGCAAACGTAACAGATATATAAAAATAGTTAGTGGAATCCAACGATAATACTAACAACCTTTTTATATATTTATTTTGTCTCATCACTGTCCTGTAACGCCATAAACACCTCCAATCCAGTCTTCTCAGTGGTGTCTTCTCTGATATGATAAAAGAGACGAGTGAAGCTTATTGAAGTTTGGAGAGCAGACAAACGAAACATGAAAGTGCTCCTGCAATAAGAAAATACACTTTTTGGACATTAAATATGAAAAGAGGGCTTGCGGTAAGAAGTCTTTCCCAGTGGCACGAGCATAAAATGTCTTTGTCTGCTAAATAATACAATAATTTCCCAACTGAAATGAGGAGAACAAAGGCTAATGCACTTTAAACAAGACCAAAGTTGCTCGTTCCTGTAGAAAATTGTACATAAAGTCATTAGAAATATATTGAATTATGAATCTTTTCCACTCTGTTATAAACAAATGTTATTGTTTTTGTATGTACCGTCTCTAGTGAAAGAGCCTAGATCTGAAGCATTGTATCTGTTTAATATACTGTGATGATTTAGGATTTGAATTTGTGATTTTAACATTTATTTTCTTGTTTTGTTGAGCATTTGCGTTGCCTTGTGTATGAACTGTGCTATACAAATCAACATAGCAGTAATAATGTCATTTTCAGTCAATATTATCAACATAATTCACTCATGTTGTCGTAAAAACATAGTTCTGACGGAAATGGTTTAGGCCGAACTGTATTCATTTATTTTTACCTAAACCTTTTTTTTGAATCAAAAACACAACTGGCGACATTAATGATGTGGCTCCTTTAAGCACGACATCCAGACTGTTCCAGAGATAAACTCCCTTAACTGAAAAATATTAACATTAGTCCTTATTATAATATTTTTAGTTTTTAGTTTTGGTTTTTGCCTGTAGAATTCAAATAGTCAGAATGTCATAAAAACATAACAAGGCAACAATTATAATGCAAAAGTAAAGATTACATGAAAACAATAATAATAATAATAATAATAATAATAATAATAATAATAATAAGGAGAAAAACAAAATAAAATTATAAATAAAGTTAAATAAAATAAAAAAAATAAATATATATATTCGTAATAATAAAATGTAAATATTAAAAATATATAAAAAAAATTAAAAAAGATGTGTTAATAATAATGAAATAACCCTAACCCCATCTTTTTAACATAATCCTGCCCTGCTTAAGTCCTATTTCCTCTAAACTTGAATCTATCCCTTAACAATCCGGAAGCATGAATTTGTGAAACTTGTACAGGACAATGTCTGTGTTAAAATCAACAAGATCCATGAATATAATCATTATTAGTTGAATAAACAGCGGATTTGTTGGAATTTATGATGCAGATTGCTTTTTGCTGCAATATGCAATTAGGCTGAAAAATTGGCAAACTTTTCCAAATCAGCACAAACTGTTGCGATACTAAAGCGTTCTGTACATACATTATGAAGCCTCCTGATGGGAAGCGAGAGTGCATCGTGGTGTGGCTCATTTCAATAGTTGTTGTTTGTGGTCTGTGAGAGAGAAGCTGATCTGAATTAGCGCCGTGGAGAGGCTCATGCTAAGGGCCCTTCACTCACGTAAGACAAAGAGAATACTGCCGGTTGATTGGTTGCTGTGGGTTGATAGAGATGTTGTTTGTTAGAAAGGAATCAGGTCAAAACCGATCCTTTTTATTGTTACATAATAGCTCTGTAGTGGATTTGCAACAGTAAAATTACAATGTCATTCTAAAGCTCATTTATTTCTGTGATTCAACCATAGACTGTAAATATTAATTCAACATACACCAACATATGATTTATTGCATGGAACGTGACATGTGCGCATAGACCTCGGAAGCTGTGGAGGGCAGGGCCTGGTTAGTAATGTGATGGGAGACCTCTGAGAACACCTGATGCCACAGTGGGGCGGCTGTAAAGTGCTAAACTGTTATCGTGTCCTGAGGCAAGACACTTCACCCCCATTGCCTGGAATGAGTCTGGTGTGTGTGAATGGCTGGTGGTGGTCGGAGGAGTCGATGGCACAAACTGGTTGCCTCGCTTCTGTCAAGTGTGCCCTAGGGCAGCTGTGGCTACAGTAGTAGTTTATCACCAATGTATATGGAGTGAAAGAATAACGACATGTGAATTCCTCCTCTGCATTTGACCCATCCTGATGCCACGAAGGCTTACGTCAGGAGCAGTGCTCGCCATAGAACAGCGCCCGGGAACCCATCTCCAGATGTTGATGCTCGGCTTGGTCAGGACTACCGGAGCTGGAGGATTTAACCTAGTGAGCATGTTTTTATGAATTTGAACCCACTCAGCCTCCGTGCCGCCACAAAACAAAAAAACGCTATACAAACCCGATGCATTTATACATACTCTCTCCTTAGCAGAACCACCACCAGTGGAAATGTGCAAATGTGTTTCAAAATACGCAGGAATCTCACCTGACCTGACGCTAATATCAATGCGAGGAAACAAGCTTGATCATAAAGAGACACTCAACTTCTCCCTCCTTTACTCCCTGTCTGTTCCTTTATTGTATTTCCAGTGCGTTGATTGACCTTAGAAGGTGAAAATTCTTCCACGTGGCTATTGTCCTCCATCCAGAAGCCAATCACATTATCAGTCAGAAACAGCAGCAGTTTGCAGCCGGCCAAATGCACTGGAGACACAGATGCTGCTGTGTGTTTGTGGATGTGACCTGTGCGTTTATTATTGCACTCCTCAGTCTTAAGCACTAATGAGTCGCCGGGGGAGGTGCTGGAGGAGAGGGTCCCCAGGGAGCGAGAGGTGTGATCACTGTGGAAGTCCCCCCTCTCTGGCCTGCTCCATATGCACAGACCACAGACAGTCTCTCTCTGGGGGCCTCAGCAGGAAGGGCCTGGAGCAGCTCACGTGCACTGTTATGTATTCAGATGCCTGCGATGTAGCAATGGATAGACTGGAGAAATGGGGCAATTGGAAATCTTTATGGAGTGTGGTAGTGAGAAATTTGTATTTTAAATGTTATGAAAATGAAAGTATAAATGACAAACAGCATGGTGAATAAAAAAGAGAGAGACAAACAAGCGTTTGAAGAAGAGGCTGGGAGAAGGAGACGGTTATTTGGTTCCAATCCCTCTCACTTCAATCCAACCCAGCACACACACACACACACTCAATACAAGCACAAACAAATATATATACACACACACACATGCAAACTGACACAACACAAGCACAACCCAACACACACACACACAAACTCACACAACACAAGCACAACCCAACACACACACACACAAACTCACACAACACAAGCACAACCCAACACATACACACACACAGACACCACAAACTCACACAACACAAGCACAACCCAATACACACACACACAGACACATACACACACAAACTCACACAACCCAACACACACACACACAACGCGTGCACAACACACGACAAGACACAGCCCCATCCTCTGACCCCACATTCGTTCCTCATCATTATTCAGGGAATTTACTTTTCTAAGCAAATAGTTGTTATTTAAATGTGATCATAAAACGGAACTATACATACCTAAAATATGCAAAGAAACACGTCAAAACAACTAATAGAGAATAATGAGAATTAAAAAAGTGCAAAGAATAAACATATACATTCCAACATGTGCGTTTCATAGAAAATTAAACAAGATACAAAATTCACACATATATTTTGTTTTGTTTTTTATGTTAATCGCCATTTAGAAATGACGTCTTTTCATTTGTTTCCTTCTAGAATAACTCATTACATTTCACTGACATTTTTTACAGTGCAGTCTTTCATTTTATTTTGTATTTTTACAGTGATCCCCTGCATCCCAGTATAGCAATCCTGCCTGTTCAACTAATAAAAAAACAAAAAAATATTTACATTAATAAGAAATAAAAAAATCAATAACTACAATAGTTTCTAGTTACAGGCCTCTAAACAAATGTCCTTTTGGAGCGAGTAACAATGATGGTGTATGTACTTCCTTCTTGTGAGGGAGGCAGGGCAGGCGTGACTCCCAGTCCCTGCTCATATTCTCACTCTGTGTAACTGTCAAATCAAATCCGTCTTTCACCTTCCAGAGGATCGCTGGAGCTGTTATGCTACATGACACGTAATTAACTACATTCGACTAAAATAAACCGTGTATGTTTCCACTTTGTAATGTAGCTTCAACACAGATGAAAGTGCACTTGGGTCAAATTCTATATTAATTGTGCAAAAAAAAGTGTTTTCTTTACGTTTAACACATTTAGATTGGTGTCGAGTTCAGAATGTGGTGTGAAGCCGCAGTTTTCAAATGATTTATGGTTCAGTATTGAGTTTTTATTTCCCTAACTCTTCATGATTTACAGGCAGTTACATGGTCTTGGGTTACACTATAATGTTCCCGGAATATGGAAGTAAAGAGCTTTTTTCCATTTTACTGATTGTGTTTGTGTGTGTGGTGAGTTGAACCAGTGGCGGTGCTACCAATGTGGGGGGGCCTGGGCAAAATTGGAACCCTCTTTATTTCCTGTGTGTTTAAACGTAGCCTATTTGGTCACATTTTCCGTGATCACTATTTTTCTATTAGTGATCACTATATTAGCTATATCACATGTTTTTTATTTTTGTTTCCTTTTTTCCCTTTTCATATTTTTTGCTTTATTTATTGGGGAGGGTTTTCTCTGTGATCCATGTGGTTTCTCTGTTTTTAATATTTTTTGACAGATTTTTGACGGATAAAATGGGTTTATTATATATATTTTGTGTGTTTGTTTGTGCTTGAGTGAATGAAGTGAACGTCATTATTGTTAAGCTAAGATTGGCCAGTTTATTAGACTAATGTCAGGCTTGAGATGTCGGTACCATCAAGGGGAATTCTTTGGGGGGCCCTATGATGGTGCCGCCTCTGTGTCGAACAGAACACATGTTTGTCAGATGTAGATACAGGAGCATTCACATTCAAGGTGCTGTCTACAGTAAACAGAGCAGGATGTGGCCTGTGCATTTCTGTGTGAATTCTCTTGAGGGTTTAAAGTTGCTCCTCTTGTGCTGCTCCACTGGTTCCATGTGTAACACTCAGCATCTGTCTCATGTCAGGTGACGCATGTGAATTAGGGATAAAGAAGTAAAAACTGTGAGAAAAACCTTGAAAATTGAAATGTTATTTAGGCTGAAATCCTTGGCGCGTCATGGATACGGAGATCTGTAGAACTCTGAAGCAATATGAGCTCTTGGGAAATATACATACATCACAATAGTCTATTTCAGGTTTGTTTTAAAAAGTTATGGCTGTATGAGTTGTATTTTCCCATCTCTTTTAACCCTGAAGTTCAGCAATTGAAAGCGTGACGTGCTCCAGTTTCTCCAGCAGACTTGTTTTGATCATTTGTTGCATTCACTACAAAGCATCAATCTGGTGAGTCATTTTGAGAAGAAAAAAACCCATCTTTTCTAAATGCCTCACTTCCCTCCGTTTCCTGCAGATATCATACCTTCAGAATGACAGAGAAAGAAGATGTCAAAAATATCATTGTTTTCAAATGGCGCTGAAAATAATTTTACTCAAACTAGTGAAAAGAAACCTTCAAAAAAAAATCAGTTTTGCGAACCCAACGGCCTCCATGGACACACAATTTAGACTATGAGACTTAAAAAAATTAAAATAACTACATCATGATCCAAACATAGTGGTATGATAAGATAAACCGTATTGATCTCACAATGAAAAAGGACCAACATGTTTAAAAAGTGAAAAGGTTATATTATGTACAATTAATTTAAAAGGGAAAAACGCCAGTGGATGAAGAAAATGTAATGTGCATTTTGACAATATGTAAAGGAGTAAGGCTAATTATGCAACTCCTGTTTTTCCATTGATAAAATAAGTTATTTGGTTCCTCCTCAGACAATTGTAAGATAGTGATGTTATTACCTTGACATTTTCCACGCTAACTTCTGTCTTCCTCAGAGGCGTCTCGTGACATCACACATGACGTACCGTATCAGCAGCTCTTCCCAGGTGCAGTCAACCCAACCCACCTGTGTGGTTTACTGCATTGCGCCCTCTGTTGGCTGGAGGTCTATAGAGAAGTGGGGAATGCGCTCTCGTCTGGATAGTTTCATATCGAATCATGGTGTCTGTGCCGCGTTTCCTGATTTCTATTGCTTTTTTGATCCAACGCTTGTGTTTATTGAGTTCCTGATTGATGATTCTTGTATTGTCCTCATGGTCCATGGTTATTGTGTATATTTGGACAAAGTTTCCTCGGCTGTTAAGAGGAGAATATCATTACAAGATTACTGTAATTTCACATGACGTTAAAAAACACTTCAGAAAAAATGACAAATGGAGCAGAAAATACATTTTAGTAGATTTAGATACTTTTTAAGCAAATGTCCAACACTGGATGCATGTGTGGACGGTCATATGAGATTTTGACACTTTCATTAACATAAAAAATGCAAATGCCTGTTGCCTTTTTAAATATATCTGGTTACACATGGAGGAGAGGGACTAAATATATATATGGTCTGTTTTGATTTTATAGAATAATATTTTAAACAAGAAAAAATGCAGTTGGACAGTGATTTTGGGCGTCACGTCATTGACCCGTTTGCAGTGATCTGATATTGCCAATATCAAAATAATCATCAATCAGGAACCCAAAAAATACAACCGAGACGTGGACGCATTCCGACTCTTTCCTCGACATCAGACGCACTCCTCCACAGACCAGCGGGTGGCATAGAGCGCAGTCCTCACAGGAAATAACTCAGGTTGGCTCTTCCCCGGGAGAAAAGCTGTTATGGCACATCGTGAGTGAAGTCACAAGACGCTTCACAAGGCGAGAAGTTACAGCGAAACATGTCATAATATAATCATCGCTAACTTCCAAATGTCTGGAATTGAGGAACCAAATAATCTACAACAAAGACAAAATCAATTCCCTATTGTAGTATAATGGAGTGAGATTGGGAGGAGCTCAAAATAAGTGAAAAAACAACATTTTGTTTATCTGTTATTCTTTTATTCTGCTATTATTTATTTACAAGGAAATACAGCACAACAAATGTAAAAAGATGTTTTGGTTGTTTTTTAACTAGAAAAATATATTGAAAAAAATTAAAACGTTGACAAGAAAAAATTAGGAATAGCCAAGAAAATATAAGAACACAATAAACAATAAAAAATTAGAAAAAAAAATGTTTATATGAATGTAAAATCCTCGGGCCTCTACACTGATCACTTGACCTCTACATGACTTTTATTGTATGGTATGTTGGCAGAGTTCCACAGCAGAGCCCAGCAGCAGCAGCAGCAGCAGCAGTAGCAGCAGCAGCAGCAGCAGTGAAGAGGACCTTGTGAGTGAGGGCCTCCTGTGTGCGGTGTGTCTGGACGTGTACCTGTGTCCGTACATGTGTCACCCGTGTAAACACATCTTCTGTGAGCCCTGCCTGAGGACCCTGGCCCGGGGCATTCCCACCAACACCCCCTGTCCCCTCTGCAGGACCACCATTACTCATGTCTTCTTCCAAAAAGGTCAGTCACAATGACACAGTTCTGGGATATTCCAAAATGAAGATTAGGCATAAAAGTTTGGGGAAATTATTAGTGTTTGTACTCATACATTTGCCTGTTTTAAACGCACACGTACAGTACACACAGTACCCATTGGTAATGTAAGCCGATTTCAACAAAATAGTCAGGATTGTCTAATTCTATAGGATGCCACTGTGTCTATTGTAGTATGCTTTCACTGAATACAATAGTAATAATACCAAGAGTGTCAACCCTGGATAATATTAAATGGGAAATAATTTTTTGTAAATTGTATCATGATTTCATTGTTTAGTGATGTTTTCTTGCAACTAGTGCATTTCCTTCTGTTCCTTTTTCTATTTACGTTGGTTTCCTTGATACATACCATATCAACTCCAAGAGGCTCGACTTGACCTAGACTATTGATATTTATACGCTTAAAAAAACAGCAAAACATTCCAGCTTTCATTCAACCCATACACTGTGTTTATGGTGAATTTATGATAAAATGGATTCTAGGTGCTAAAAACAATAAGAATATTGTTTTAAAAAAAATCAGCTTTTTCTCAGTAATTTCAGAAAGTGAAAAAAAACACTGACATATTTCATATCATACTCCCTACAGTGTGAGTTATGACTACAAAACACAAAGTGGAAGTGTAAGTGGAAGTGTACATTTTTAAACTTAACATTCTTTCAGCATTTGTAAATCTAAAATCTCATAAATATGAACAATCTCTTGAAATTTATCATTCCAAAAGTACTCTTCATCTCCCTGCTTTGCCACATGGGATCACCGCTTTAGTGGGTTTCACTGTGCTGTCTGCTTGGCTCACTTCTAACAGCATCAGACAATAATGTATGTACTGTATCTGTCGCCGTCCACGTACATGTGACGCATTACGACGCAGTGACCGTGACACAGAAGTCTGTGTATCTCACACCTACACACACTATACACACACTATACACACACCTACACACACTATACACACACTATACACAGACCTACACACACAGTACACACACTGCACACACATTGTACACTACAGTATTCTAATTCAGCAGCGGGACAGAGGAACAAGAGGTCCCAGCTGCAGAGGAACCACTGTGAGAGGGCTGGATTCAGAGCACAGGCCACAACAGATGGGTCACTCAGAGGCCAGGCAGAATCAAACAGGACTTTCATCAGGACTTTGATCAGGACACTACTGCTCCAGCGTCACACAAAAAGACAGAAAAAGGATGAAAAAGAAGTCATAACCTCAAGGAATTCAAACAAACAACACAGCCTTTCAACCCTCTACTCAAACACCCTACGTAAGCGGGACGCATAGTGGTCAGTCATATAAGATTAAGTTTAAAGGTCCTATATTACGCTTTTCTTCATGTTTCACAGTCAATCCTATGCACATGTGTGATAATAATATGTGTGATACACCTCACAACACTCAAAACTTGTGAGATTAGAGCCATCTCTTGTATACTGTAGAGGTCACGTCACCTCAACTCAAACGAGCTGATCCAGAGAAGAGTCTGCTCCTCTGCCTGACGTAGCATCACACTCTTAGTTGTTTATCACCAGTACATAGTCATTTCAGACATAAGAATACACTTTTTCCAACAATGACAATCTGTCACATTGAGCCCTATGTCCTCGATGCACAATCAGACCCTGATTATTTAGTTTACAGAAGTAGAAGGCGAGTTAGCGTCACTACTCACAGACGAGGGGTCCGTGTTACGTCTTTTACCGTGGGAATAACACATGTTTCCAGATCAGTTTTTGAGTAAGTCCAGTTCCATTGTCCCTGTAGTTCTGGAACGGTCTCAGTGAAGTGCTGCAGATGAACTGTCATTATAATAATCCATGAAAAAAGTCGACCCGCCTTCTTCCTCTTCGAGTTAAACAGTGCGTCAAATATTTCCAAAACACATTTATCCAAGTTGACGTGATCCTAACACTTATAGTTGCTGACAAAAGCAGAAAAACAGTAGCTCCGTGTGGTGTCCGTGGGACCAAACCACATACACTGGACTCTGGAGCCGGAGTTGGGAACTAGCTGCGCACTCTGATTCGCTGTTTTGATCTGTCAATCACCATCGGGCTTTTACTATTATTTTTATTCTTATTATTTTTGACAACAAACAGCATACTTACTGTGTTTTGTTTACCCCGTTTTGACAAAAGTATTTAAAAACCATTTTAAATACAAAGCAAACGGGCATATGCGCGTCATATTCGTCATCAGAGTGGTAATCGTCACTGAAGTGGACCCGAGCGTTTCTATGCCCCTCGAGGCTGAAGGAGACTGATTGCTCTCTTACTAAAGAGTAACAGAATGAATGAAAAAACTACTCTGGGCATGTGTATGAAGGCCAAATAGCACTGTAATCATGTTTAAAGCAGAGAAAAGTCAAAAGGGGAAAGTGAGGGGAAAGTCCGTCTGACAGGGGGTTCAGCGAGACGTTTCCAGCAGACCCTCACTATATGCTTGGGTCTGCCAGGTCTGACAGGCTTCCTCCCCTGCCAGCAGATCCAACTCACGACCAGGTGATGATCGGTTGACAGCTCCGCCCCTCTCTTGTGTGTCCCCCTCTCCGAGTGTCCAAGATGATACAACAACAAAGTCGATCATCGACCTCCCTTGTGCTCGAACATGGTGTTCGTGATGGACAAACTGTGACTAGCACAGAAGTCCAACAACTGAACACCGCTCGGGTTCAGATCAGGGGAACAAGGCCGGGTACTCTGCACTGCCGTTAGGCCCGTAGGTCGTCACAACAGTGAGAGACTTGTCCCCTACCCAAAGGCGGAGGCACGCAACCCTCTCATTCAGCTAGGAGAACTCCAACACGTGGCGGCTGAGATGGGGGGCAATGAGTATGGCCACCCCTGCTCGCTGCCTCTCCCCGCAAGAAACACCGGGAAAGTGGAGCATCCAACCCCTCTCAAGGAGTTGGGTTCCAGAGTCCAAGCTGTGTATGGAGGTGAGGCCGACTATTTCTTGTTGTTATCTCTCAACCTCGGGCTCAAGAGCTCAGGCTCTTTCCCCCCAAGTGAGGTGACGTTCCACGTCCCAAGAGCCAGATGTTGTGTGCAGACTGGATCGTCGAGGTCTCCGCCTTCGACTGCTCCAGTCTCCAGTCCTCTCTACACTGAACCATCACGGTGCAGAGAGGAGGGCCTGCCCACGTCGTCCTTTCGGGCTGAGCCCGGGTGTGCCCCGTGGGCTAAGGCTCGGCCACCAGGTGCCCGCTTTCGAGCCCCAACTCCAGGCCTGGCTCCAGGGTGGGGCCCCGGCTGTGCCACACAGGGCGACGTCCCAGTTGTTGTTGTCATGCAATCCATGGTTGGCTTCGGACCGCTCTTTGTCTGACTCGTCACATGAGAACTGTCTGCCATGGGAGGCCCTTCCAGGGTCACGAAGCCCCAGACAACATAGCTCCCAGGATCATCCGAGTTCACAAATTGAGCTAACTCCAAATCTAAAATCCTTTACAATCCCCAACTTCATACATTAAAAAATGTCATAAATATTTGCACAGACACAGTGTCATCACTGCCAGGAGCTGGAATTGAACCACCGCACTTTGAACCAATGAGCAAATGGTTTGGGAAGTGACCTTAAATGTGAGTCCGCCTTAACAAATGAACTTTGGGGCAGACTATAAATATGTATCTACATGTAACAGGACTGATATTGATGCAGAATGTATGAATAAGAGATGACATTACAGTTGGCCTACTTCCTCATTATGGGCGGACAGAAAAAGGCTAGACTCTGAGAGGACTCGCGTTTAAAGATGGTAGGGACCGGTGTTCAGAGGGGGATTGTTGTTGATCGCAGAAGTCAAGGTCATAAGCAGACATGAAGCAGGCTTGTAAGGCTCTGAGTGACGTCACCACATTGTGCAAGAAAGAAACATGAATTATGACTTAATGCATAAGTCCAGTAAATGTAATGTCCTATTGGAGTAGATTCAACATGCATAACAAAACACAAAATGATGCAATTTTTAGGAAACTAAACAACAATACTGTACCTGCAATGGTGGAAAAAAAATAAAACCTTATGTCTTTGGTCCAGTGTGGTAGTGGCATGTATAGTATTACTGTATGTACTGTACAGTTATGTTGTTGTTTTTTAACCCTAACCCTATCCCTGATTAAGAAATGATAAGACCAACTTTATTAATCTCACAGTGGAGAAATTTGTGTCACATTTGGCACAGATAGAATCACTCAGATTGTGTACAAACATGTGAAGGTTGTTATAGTATTGTGCTGCATTATGTGTCAAAATATGTATTGCAGGATTTAAATGAGTATTCTAAATAATTTAAGAGAAAAAAACAATACCTCTGTTTTGAGAATTTGTCAAAAAATGTATTTATCTTGCTTCAATTGTTCACTTATTTGTTATTGACAGTAAAATTGAAAGGATTCGCTCAAGAAGGATAAAACTTCACTTTCACTTTCAAATATTTTTCTAATGGCCTTTGTCTGTTTTTGCAAATGATTTATTCAAATACAATGTCCTTCGTTTAAATCTACTTTACGGTATATATTTGAAGCAATCATATGCAATAAATGGATATCTGTGTGTTGCAGGTGCTGGCGAGAATAGAGCCCAGCATTAAGTAAACAAATGTGTACTTTAAAATCGCTTTCATTGCTTTTCCATAGAACAGACCCGAGCAGCAAACTGTGGCCCCCGAGCCACATATGGACAACTTACGTTTCTATTTGGCCCGCAGAGCCTTAGCATACTTTTTTGAATATTTATGTTATACTTAATTTTGAAGCATTTTTTTCTCAGGCAAATAACCACATCATTCATTCTGCTCTAAACAGCACCAAGATAAATGTGTCTACAATAACACGGGGACTTTAGCTTTGGTCCAGTTTTGGTGCGATCAAAGATAAACTGAATGTTGAAAGAAAAAAACAAAGAATATCCCAACCCATAATAGTTTTTATTTTAAAATATCGTGCTCAAAATATCTCTATATTGTTAAAATAGGGGCAATAGGAGCCACAGATGCAAAAGCTTTAAACCTACATTCCACAAACACAAAGCCAAAACTAGATGTTTCTGATAAATAGCTTCTGTAAATACTTGTAGTTTTACTCATAGTTTTTTAACGTGTTTTGATTTTATAAAGTATCTATCATTGCCTTGGAGGAAAAAAGCAAACATATTTTTCAAGTGTGTTTTTCCAAATGAAATGAAATTGTAAATGTGTGAAAACAGATCCAGTCCTCCAATAAAGGGTCCAGTGTGGCCTTCCCTCTACAGCTATAAGAGAATGTGTCAAATCTGTCTTTTGCAGAGCTGAACCAAACGGTGAGGACATTCTTCCCCAAGGAGTACCTGTCCCGGAAACAGAACTTTCAGAAAGCCTCGTGTGCCAAATGGCCTCTCCCCAGCTGCAGGAAACTCTTCAGGATGTTTGGAGGTCAGTTCTTTTGTCACACTGCAAAAAATTATAAAAAAGTGAGGTCATAAATGCTTGGATCAAGAGTTTTTTAGCTTCATTTGAGTACATTGTGACTGTCTTAAAACCAGATTTGCCAAACGGACAAAACCATTTAGTCTTATTTCAAGAACTTTTGCTTTATTTTCTCATTCCAAAGGAGAATTTTCTTGTATCTTTATAAAACAAGATCATTTTGCTCATTGTCCCATTTGGAAAATCTTGTTTAAACACTTTTTACAGTTCATTAAAATGAAAGTTGAATTGATTTATTGTGATGTGTATGTCTGTGTTTGTTAAATGGCTGTATGGTACTAGGTCTGCGTATGTGTGGAGTTTAAAAGTTCTACCTGCGGAATATTTAAACCCAAAACATATTTGGAATATTATACTTTTGGATAAATAAATTTAAAAAAAAACACAATGTTAAGTAAGGGGTCTGATTCCGCCCTGGACGTACTTTACACTATCCTGCTTATTATTCAGCTATCTGCCAACTGAACACACAGTTCACTTTCATGCATGCCGAAAGGTTTATTTAATGACAGCAAATAAAATAGTTCCCTAGCATGGCTTATTTATATAAAACTGGACGTTCCCATTTGGAGACTGCACCTTCAATGGGAATCGGACTCCCGTTAACCTCAGGAGCGATTCCCCCGGCTCCTCTCGCAGAGACAGAAGTAGTGACAGGCGCCTCTGGAAATAGATAACGCTAACATAAATATAATAGCTTTAGCTATTTCCAGAAGCTCGTTGTCGAAGGAGCCGGACTACTTGCGGAGTGATCTGACACATGTGAATTACATTGCCATTAACAGCGGTCGTTATTGGTTTGAGAGGTCCCTTATCAAGAAATAATGACAAGAACGTTTTAAAATTACATTCATATCAATGGAGCGTATGTGAAGAGCCGTAAAATAACATCAATACATTTGCTTAAAGCTGGATATGTATTTTCATAATTGAACTACAGTATGTAATAAAATCTCACTAGTTCCTGGCCCCTAAACATTATTTTTGGTTCAACATAACTAGCCGTCATGTGCAAGTATTTTTTGGCCAGAAAAGTGAAAAAGCGAGGACCACCCTCACCCGGCCAATCAGCTCTTAGACAAAAGTGTCCATTAGTGACTCAAAGGGCACTTTTTTTTACAAGTATACAAAAGATAAAATGTTTACTAATCGGATGAAGACTGTATGTTGTTGTTGTCTGAATTTTTCACCAAATTATATTTCTGTTGGACAAACGACATTCATTATTATGGAGATAAAATGGTAGGTACTCAGCTTTAATATCAAGAATGTGCCTGGGTTCTCATCTTTCCCCTCATCAAGCTACAATTCTTGCTGAGTTCTCCTGATCAAGATAGTGGCTCAAGGCTTGAATTTCAGTCCTTGGACAGATTTTCTCAATGTGAACAATAACAAGTTTTTCAAGCCTTTTTTGAGGGGCAATAGTCTATATAAAGGTCTTCTATGTGAAAGTGCTTATGCAAATGTATAAAGGAGTGACGGAATATCCCAAAGAATCCGATCATCAGTCCATGAGTCTGACTTGGCAGCTGCCTGGCATACAGCTGTCTACAAACTTCACTTCTCTCTATGGGGACGTAAGCCTAATTCAAATGAGAGTGAGAGAAGCAAAGTTTATAATACTAAGAACTATTTCATTGAACAGATTTTTGCAATGCATTTCTGCAATAATGTAATCAGTTTGACATCAAAGAGGTTGGCTCTTGCCTCTTGTTGTTATTGGGACGGTGCCATTTGTTATCTGCAGCACGGTGGCACGATATAAAGGTCCTGGGTTTGATTCTACCTCCAAGCCTTTCTGTGTGGAGTGTGCATGTTCTCCCCGTGCCTGCATAGGTTTCCTCTGGGTGCTCCGGTTTCCCCTACCACTGAAAAACTGTACAATAGGTTTGGCATCTCCTGGAGTGGATTGAGAGGCAATTGCCCAAAAAAGAATTGTCAAGCGCTTTGTGACTTTGTCTGTGAAAGGCGCTATATAAATAAAGAAGACTTACTTGATAAATTAGGTTCAGGTCTTCACTATTCTCACCACCTGCTGATCTGTATCTATCTCCCACGTGGCTTTGGAATTCTGTCATTTGTGATGGTTTTCGTCAATAACTCATTTCACCTCAGCTGCGGTGAGAGAAGACGCTTGTGCCGGTCTTAGTTTCAAGAACAAATACCAGGTAATTGTAGAGAAATACTTCTACTTTTGGAGCTAACACAGTAAAATCCTACAGTATGTACATTATCAAGGACTTGGAAGATTATCTGACATGTTTGTTCATCTGGAACTTAGTCCCTCTGAACACAACTTTTGAAAACAACAAAACTACAAAAACAAACGTAGAAAGAATTGAGGCTTTTAAATATTTGGCTTCTCAAAAATGTCTTTGTTTTCTATCTCTTACTAAATTGGACACTCGGGGGACATTAATTGGTATTTAATTTCATGAACAGGTATTCGTCTTTATTTATAGTACTTGTGTTCCAAGAAAAATAAAGTCTTGCTCCAGTTCTAGTCTCTCACAATTTTCCTGTAAAAATAATAGAAAAAAAACATAAAACACAAAATTAGAATACAACCAAAGTATTGCTTCCAAGCGATTTAGGTGAAATGTCCTTCTTTCTTACTCTGAGGATGAAGTTCCCGCACATAATATTTGATGTTGAAAGGACACTTAAACTAAATTAAACCCCTCCCCCTCGTGGTAGAAGTGGGGAATTACATGTAGAGATCATTTTAAATCCTTTATCCATGTTTAGCTGTATATTGATAAGAAAGCGAATGAACAAAAGAATGAAATGGAGCTTGGTTCTATTCACTATTATGTCGAAAATAATGCATAATTCATTAATAATTGTGTCCTAAAAATTGTGTAAATGTGTGTCTGTTGCCACATCAGGAAGCATTTCAATGCACTACATGCTGAATCTTCCAAATGGCAAACCGCAGACAACAGATGTGAGTGAAACCTAAATGACTGACCTCCACACAGGTTTCCCAAGACAGTGGAGTCCGATGGCGCGTCGCCGGTTCTCCCCTCACGGTGGTGGGTTCCGAGTGGACCCTCTGGACCCTCTGGAGCTGGAGGATCTCGGGGAGAGACCGGCTGCAGGCTGGAGACTGGACATGGACATGGTCATCATCTACATCTACTCCGTCAACTGGATAATCGGCTTCCTCATCTTCTGCCTCCTCTGTTACATCTTCTTCCCGTCTCAGTGAGGAAAACTTGAACAAATGAGGCCTGGACAGATGATGACAGATACACACGAGATTCCAAACTTCACAAAGATGTTTAAACCACCTCTATTCAGGTTGTGTAACTTCCCACAATGTGTATGTAGTTGTAGAATGCATGGCGCCCAGGAAGGATTCAATTTAAGCTCCTTAAAGTGGAATTTGTGTGCAATTTGTGCTTTTGGTGAAGACCAAGGCAAAGTGCCAAAGTTTTTGATGCCGGAAAAACCATAAAACTAAGCCCATTTTGGTAGACGTTTGGAGATCTTGGAATGTAGTCGCGAATCAGAATGTATTTATGAGCAAATCACACATAGAGCCCTGAACTCAACCATATGCAAGAAATATGAAACCAAATATTATAGCAATTGTACGTTTGTACGCAATATAAACAAAAACCCCAAAGAAAATAAAGATTTGCATTGTAATAACAATTATTTTATCTTATCTTTTTAAAATAAATGAATATTGTTTGTTTGAATGGAATGATTAATATAGTTTTAATTCATTTTCTCAATTTCTTGTTATGATGGAAACCTATGGGGGCCCCCCTGAAGTGGCTGTGAGGCCCCCACAGAAAGCCCCCAGACCCCATTTTGAGAAACAGTGCTCTAAATCATAATAGATTTCAATGTAATCCTTCTGTGTGGGTCATAGATTGACTCCAACATCACATCCCTAACACCTGGAGTTAAGTGAGACCTGGACTGAAAGTGAAACCAACACATTAATGAACGGGGTTGTTCTGGTCTCACTTCTGCTTTGCTACAATGTTGTCACCATAATACATTTGAAAGTGCTTTTGATGATCTGCTTTTTGGAAGAATTGTACAAAAATCAAATATTCAAAGAGAGTTTTACAACCCACTGCATCAGATCACTGCTATTCATCAATAAAATCATTTTTTCTTAAAAGCTGGTGTTTTTGTCTCAATTATAATGACAGAGATAAAGAGACCCTTTATTTGTCCCACAGTGGGGAAATGTCAGTGTTGCATCACAAGTTACAGAGGCATGAGGAGCACACAGCACAAGATGAATATGAAGAATAGCACAACAAAAATCAAATCTCTATGTTAAGCTTAATAAATAAACTGTCCTCCTGTAGACCACTCCTGTATCCTCTATAGTGCAAAGAAACACATACTTCAGAGTAAGAAAGTCCTGGGTTTCCATTTCACCTCCGAACAGGGCAAGATGAAGGATCCCTTATTTGCAAAATATACAGAGATAAGTGGCTGTCGATGGAGTTTGCATGTTCTCCCCGTGTCAGCGCAGGTTTCCTCCGGGTGCTCCAACACTAAAAACATGCACAATAGTTCAGGGTGAATGAGTGTGAGCTTGACTGAGACAATGGATGCAAAGTAGCCCAAAGCTACAATCCGGAGAGTATATTGTCCCTTAACATGTCCCAGACAAACAATAAACAAAAAATGAATGAAAAGTATTTATCTATAGCTACATCTGTAATACACTCTTGAACATGAATATATAAGTAAAATTCTTTCTGTGGGTTCAAATATTTACAGTGATTTAACTAATGTAAAATTTAGCATCAGAAGTAAAGTGTCCTGAACAAGTCATACGCAAAATAGTGATATTTGGACACGTTTTTATTCACATATATTCTAAACAGAGATCAGCTTCATTCATCATGTGATTGGTCAAAAGACGCGTTTGTGTGTGTGTGTGTGTGTGTGTGTGTGTGTGTGTGTGTGTGTGTGTGTGTGTGTGTGTGTGTGTGTGTGTGTGTGTGTGTGTGTGTGTGTGTGTGTGTGTGTGTGTGTGTGTGTGTGTGTGTGTGTGTGTGTGTGTGTGTGTGTGTGTGCGCGCATGTGTGTGCTCATATCTGTACAGCACAATGCTCTGGGGCGGGGGTCCATCATTATTATTAGTCTCCTCTCCTCCGGGTGCGCGCAGTGTCCACCGCCGCCGCCGCCGCGTCAGGCCTGTACAGCGCCAGGCCGTCCTCCCCTCTCTCCATCCCTCTCTTCTGTCTGCTTTCCCTCCAAGGTTAACAGACCCACAGCCACCGCGCCACGCACGTCTCATCTGAAGTTTTGGGGGGAGAGAGCGTGAAGGGGGGAGGAGGAGGAGGAGGAGGAGGAGGAGGAGGAGGAGGAGGGGGAGGAGGAGGACGTTATATTCCAGCGAGCGCGCGATAGGAGGGGCTGTGCGTCTGAAGCCAAACCGCTCCGCTTTTCTTAATGGGAACGCGTAATTATAAGAAATGGCTGCATTTGGAGGACACCTGTGAGCGTGTGCCATCGACGTCGCTTTGTGAGAGGAGTGCCCTGAGCTAGCTGGACCTTGCTGCCACTTTATTTTATTTTTTTATTTTATGATTTCGGGGCGTGAGAGGTTTGAGTGCTTGACTGCTGCTGCTGCTGCTGCTGGAGTGAAGGTGACTTGCTGCGCGCCCGCTGCAGTCAAAGGCAATGCAGAGAGGACTGTGTGTGTAAATAAAAAAAACCCCAACGGAGGTCAGAGTTTTGGGGCCACATTTTTTTTTCTCCCCAGACTGTGTGGTGCTCGCTGCAAGAGGATTTGGAGTTGGAAGCTGGAAGAATAAAGTGGAGGGGCGGGGGACAGCTCGGATCCATCACTGCATACACACTCTACCTTCTATAGAGGAGAAACGCGGTTCTATACTGGGGCTGTTTTCCTGGTGGATGTGTATGCATGAGTTCTGCATCGAACGGGCGCAAGAATCGCCCCAGATCCAGCGTCTTCCAGATCGGCAAACCTCCTCCTCAACGAGACCCGCAGAGGAGGGAGAGCACCGAGAGCAGCCGCAAAGCCCAGCGCGCCGTGGCGGACTGCAGGATGGTACGTCTCTGTGCAGATAAGGAATACGCACCGCACCACACCATACACGTCACTAAGAGAAAAGGCATCGCTTTCATGGCTTTTGTTCCCCCCCATCCCGCAGCGGTAATAGCCCCTACTACTGCTCCTGCTGCTGCATCCACTGTAAAAACTGGTGTGGTCAAAGCTAAAAATAGACGCACCATCCCCTTACCCCCCCTGGTGCGTTGGTCGGGGTGCGAAAAGAGCGCACGGATTTGGATGGGGTTCAGTTGTTGCGCAAAGGTCATATTTATTTATGTATGGTACTAAAGACATTGACTAGATGGACAGCAGACGTAGTGGGGTATAGTGGGATAGTGGCTGAGTCCCAGTGTGATCGTGACACTGATGTCCTCTACTGCCTGCACACCACATACAGTATATATAGGTTTGATGGTCAAAGTGAAGAGGTTTCTTTATACAGTAGCTTGTGCACGTAAACAGTGAGTGGACAATAGACCCAATATCCTCTGTATACTCTGCAGGCAGCCGCTAATGGCCCTGTCCCGTGCAGCTCTGTAATGGAATACAACCAATTATGTGGAATCAATAAGAGACACAGTTTGTATAAAGCTCCAGCGCCAACCCGGGTACGTATACAGGCATAGCTTTCATGTGAGGATTGTAATTCCAAAAGGGTCATTTTTGTCTTGAGTGTGGTTCTTTTGAGAGATGGCTCGCAGGTCTAGCAGCCGAAACATGTTAACAATAAGGTAATACATCTAACTTGTCTTTCAAAAGAACCGCAAAATATGAGGATTGTATATTTAATGTATACTAGAACTTTTACATTTTGGTCGTACATACAAATATCACACAATCAAAGCCCACGTCAGAAAAATATGCACTAAAAAAGTCAGAATTCCAGACGTACTGGGTTTTAGAACGAATTACGACACATGTACATTGGCTGAGCTGAAGTTGGATGGATGACTCAGTGAACTTGGGTTAGAGAGGCAGAGGGCTACACAAAACATCACTGAGGACCGCAATTGGCGCCCGGGCCTGAGTTTGGACATGCCTGTTTTAAATTGTGTTTTAGAGCAATACAAACCATGACATCTGTGGATCTGTAGATAGATTAGAATATGTTATAAGGACCACCTGATGATGTCACACGTCTTATGTCTGTCTTTAAAACAAATGAGTTGGGGAAGACAATCGGTTACAGAGCTGCTGCAAACCATTCAGTTAAATTTGACTAAGATGCATTAAACAAAAACAACACAAGTGAATCTGAGGCTTGGATTCTCCTCTTTAAAGGGGATGATAAATAAGATTCTGTTAATTCTTTAAGGCACATTTTGACTTGGAAATGCGCTCAGCTCTTTCACTGTATTTCCGCAGCGATTGTACAACCGTAAAATGTATCTGTCTGAAAGAGATCTTTGAAAATCAATGGGATGTCTCTGGTTACGGGTTAAACGTGTGGATAAATCACATGAATATTGCAGATGCATTTGAGACGTGACATCATCTTCATGTTGGAACCCAATCCTTGGATCAATGCATTTTTATACGTGTGTTTTCATTCTTTCATTGGCTTTTACTTCCGGGTGGATCATCAAGACTATTGGTGCTTCTTAATTGTCAATCATTCTGGTGGTACATGTTCATCAAGTGGATACTTAAATACTTTTAACCTTAAAGACCATAAAAATATCACATTTCACCAAAAAAAATAGTTTTTGTCACACACGTTTTAAAAAAGCAATGTGTTTTCGCTTAGTTTTTTCAAATATTGCTTATTTTTGCCGCAAAATACCACTGAGAATGTCAAGTTTTGAATAAGAAAGTCCATAGACAAGTCCATGAAACAATCTTTTTAAATTTAACAAAAAAAACCTATAACTCAAAGACTATACACACACCAAAACCAACAATTCTATACTCAAAATCACATCCAATTTATCTATATAGCACAGTTACAAACAGCCTGATAGCTGCACCATGAAATCCATAAAAGAATGCAGATCGAGATGAAAATAGACTCTCATTCAAACCCAATGTAATTTTGTAACCTTGATAAATCTTTGTAATAAGTGTCAAATGCCAGTGAGGAAAGAGGATGTAAAATGCTGGAGTGAGAGAGTGTGGAGTTCGTGCACTAATGTACTCGGGATGCACCATTAATC